TTCCGTTATATTTTCAAGCAAAAGTAATAACATATTTGAGATCAGCAGACAAAACTCGGTCTAACAGCATACTTAACATTCGGTTTTCAAACAAACAAAATTTTATTCATAATTTTCTCTCTAGTGGGAAGACCAGACGTATATATACGTCTCCCGTCGCCAAAGGGTTAACTTATATTATTTAGATAATCTAACACGTTTTATGGTATTTTTTAACATTTCTAACATACTTCTCCTCCCACTTTACCAACGTTTTAGTAAATGTCAATTAATCTCTGTGCTTGCCATGGCAGAAAAGTTTAGGTCAAACAGATTAGCGGGGATATCCAAGAGAGTTAAAATTGATTTGAAATGGATATGCCACTTTAACACTAGAACGTCCGTAGCGTGTGATTTTTATCCTTAATAAAACAAACTGCATACAATTTATTTAAAAATAAATTATGTCATAACTTTTAATTTGTCCCACAAAGTTCTGATTTTTTGCAGAATTTTTAATTCATTTTTGAATTCAGAACCATGTTTAAGTATAAAATTTTAAAAAAAACCAGTAACGGTCAAAATGACCGCTTTGGACGTTCTAGGTCATAAAAATTTCCGGGCGTTCTAGTGTTAATAAAATCCAGATGAGGTATTACAAATGTTATTTTTGTAAAGTAAGATTGTCTTCAGCTGTATAGCACTGAATCCTTCCCATGGAGTTAAAAAAATGGTATTTTGACACGATGCATGATAACATTGAAAGGTTTTATGTATACAAAAGCATACAGGTTAACTAAACACATACCCTATTAAAAAATTAGCATATAATGCCTTTATTTTCCTTCGCTGTAGCGTATATGTTATCTTTCTCATCAGGTGTTAATTATAATAAACGAAAGCAAGAAATGATTGTTATTCTTTCTTTTATTGTTTTTAATGTAAATACAAAGGTAAGACACTATTTAAATGGTGAACCAATAGATAGTGGCATAAACGTAATGAACAGGCATGCAACGAGTGCGACCCTATAAGTTTCTATCTTTTTTCGTAGAAACGATGTATTTTGAGAAGACGATGTGGCAAAAATTTTCTGGATCCGTCGAAGTGCAGTGCAAATATTTCTCTATAAATGAGATGTAGCCGATCGTCCTACGATTTGTTGTTCTTGTTTTATGGTCATTTTATGAAGAGCTCCAACCGAGCCATCTTTGTTTCGATCAAGCATAGCTAACAATCGAGAATATGACTAAATATTTTGCATCGTCAAGAATACGTAATAACTGTGATTACACCTCATTATCAACCAAAGAGCATAATCCTCTAATTGAGCCTTGCTATTGGTGTCACATATCTTCCAGCAAATATCATTTTAACCGTGTGTTAATCTCAAATTAAAACAAAAATAATCGATCGTTTTGTGTCAGACAAGTACAAAATATCGTCGGACAGTATCGTCGATTAGTTCAGGATGGATAGACGCTGTCTACTAGACAAAGCATGTGCTCTAATCTAAGCATATCACTGGATAGGAAAATTTTAAAAGCTTGTTCGATCAAAAACCGATTGCAGATTTGTCTTCTCCATGGTTGATTATGTGATAAGCGATAAATTCTGGATCGGGATGCTTTAGAAAAATTTTTCGACATCGTTTTGCCTTGGGTCCTTTCTGAAAAGTTTTTGAGCAAGACCGTGAGAAAAGTTTTTTCTAAAGTATCCTGATTCAGAAGTTAGCGCGTACCACATAATCAACCACCGAGAAGACGAATATGCAGTCGGTTTTGATCGAACAAGCTTTTAAAATTTTTTGATCCGGTGATATGGTTTATAAGCAATTTTTCTTAAAAATCTAAATCAAAAATCTAGCAATCTTGCATCGTTTTTATGACTGTTACCTTTACTTTAAGACGAAACCTGTGCTCTCTAGCATAATATTTAATGTTGGAACCTTGTAATCAATGCTCGCTGCGCTGCTGCAAAGCTGAGAAAAAAACGCAACACATTTTTGTTGAGTTTTTTTTGCAAATATTGTGAAATAAAACAGTTGCTGTAGACGCACGCATATTCGCCATATATACAGATATATGTGCATCGCGGTAGTCGAAAATCTAGAAGGGCATGAAATGAGTGACCAAGACAAAAAATAAAATAAATCAGTTTTTTCGCCATCACGGCGTCTAGAAATCTTGCTAGAAAATCCATCAATGTCAGATTTGGTGCATCACATAAATTTAGAAGAATCTTTGGGCTATCCAACCATGTATTTTTCTCAAAATGAATATTTTTGACAAGGAGGAGAAGAGTTTAGAAGGATGTGTCCGAGTTGAAAAAGATTCGTTGACTAGCTATGCAAGTCGAGGAACGTGTAAAAGAAACAATTTCTGCGTAATTTGAATGCAAAAATGCTTAGTTTAAACTTGCACCATTCAAAGAATAGCATTGCTGATTGTTGAAAAATATGTAGCTATAATTTAAAGCAGATCTAACAATAAAATCTTCATCAGAACATTTTCGATGATGAAGTGTTGGTTAAATTGATATATTTCAAAAAGTGCTGTTTTAAGTTTCCAATCAGAAATAATTGATCAATATTCCGATAAGTATAGAATAGTGTACAACAAAAATAGCCAGCTGATGATATAACCATTAATAATGCAATTAAATTTGTAATATTTTTAGTGATACAACAATATTTTCTAAAACAAAATAGAATATTTGAATTTCATTGAAGCCACCAAATATGTCGAAAGTATATAGGGTTAGCTAACATGTAGATTATTTAACGAAAAATCAACGGTTAGATACATTATTGATGAAGATTAGAGTGTGATTGTTACATACTGCGTTGAATAACGATAAAAATGTCCAAGACAGTATCCAAATGCCATTAGTTTGAAGACAATGGCTAATAGATAAGAATGAAATGTGACACTTGACGATGAATAGAAAAACCATGGTATATAATTTGTTATATATGAACCAATAATTAGATATGTGCCTGTGCTTATCCGTATCCACGTTGCTAAACAATATACGCATGTTTAAATGATAAATAAAATCAACATATGTCTCTTTGTATACCCTTATCAATATCGAATATGCAATAGCTTCGACGTGTAATATAAAATATCCAGACAATTAAATAAATCAAAATTGTTATAGTAGCTACAAAATATACAATCAAATTTGGAACTAGTAAAGTTGATTCCTGAATAAAATACAAAAAGATATTCAAATGTTTTACACTACGGTGAAATTTACACCACTTACTCCAGTGACAAAATTTTTCCAATATGGAACGGGCTTTGCTAAACCGAATGGCCACCACAGTGGAGAAGAATATGAGGGATGTACTCGACATGAATAACCATTCGGAGGATTAAACATACGCCACTATAAAAGGTAGACAAAAAATGCGAAATTAGATACTGTTTAAAACCTTGAATCATCGTTCTACTTGTAATTCAAAGTACTTCATAATAACCGTCATTGGTTCCCAAATGCGACGATCTTTAGATAGTAGAATAAATGATTTTAGACAGAATAGTGATTGGAAACGTTATAATATATCTCATTACCCGGATTCTTGTATTCTTCTACAATCCATGTACTTTCTAGTTCGACGTCTAATGATCTTACATCGGTAACTACTTCCATTTGTTTATTTCCCCATGATGGTAAACGATTTTTTGTCATCTAAACGAATATTGCAGATTTGTTAATGAATCATATCACGCCTTTAAAAAAGGAGATGAATGATTTTTTAATCGTTGAAGAATTATGATTCAATTTTCATCAAACAATAACCTACTTTCAACACTTTTCCAGAATATAAATTGGTTAGACGAATGTGTGATTGAAATGGTAGCAATACATTTCCCACATCTTGCCGATTTGTTATATCCTACAAAAATTTATTTCAATTATTCATTATTATATCCGTTTACTACTTGCCACACGCCATAGATCAATTCCGTATATTGTGACAATGCACAATTTTGCATTTAAATGTTGCTTTTGACAATCGAATCGATCTTTCTTGACACATGCTACTTCACGACAAGTACGAGATATAGGACACGGATTGAGACCACTAAACATAGGTAAAATGTTCACAAATATATTCTCATATTTATCATACCTGACTAAAATTCCACTTGTATTTTGATGAACAAGTCGAATAAGGTCACCATTTTCAATAATATCATGACGAAAGTCATTTTTTGTTCTTAAACGATGTACAATAATATATATGCTAATTGTCATTTAAACTGCGAAAGATACCTTAAAAAAACTTGTTCCTACTTTGATAGTATTTCAACAATCCACCATCTTTCATTGGCATTTTTTCGTTGATTACACGTTATAATTTGTTGCGATGAATTTTTTTCTCCATTTTTGTTACTATGAAATAATAGAATTACTAATTAACAAATGGGATCTATTGTGTGTGAGAATGATGCACTTACATAGGTGGATAGTTTGTAGCTGTTGAGTGAAGATAACAAGGTTTTGTTATTGTATCAGCAGCATTACGCATCGTTATTTGTGTACCATACAATACGGGATGTATATCACTACTACCCATTGGGGAAAAACCGTCCTAAATTTAAACAAATAAACATTAAAGATCAAGTAGGTGGAAGAAGTAAACATACTTGCAATGACATTCTAAATCTTAAGCTCATATATTTATCATCTGGTCCTGATCTATTGCACCAGCCAATGTGTGTTAGGAATACTGTACAATATAATATAAGTGGTAATGATAGGAATAGGAATATATGATAGATATTTTTCGAGCCATTTACACTCTTTAATGAGAAAATCAAACAATTCTGAACAAATACGGTGACACATCAAAATTGAGAAAATAATATTCAGAAAAAAATTACTTCGACTTGGTCTTCTTTTGGCATTGATCTTGATGAAATGTAATTTTTCAATAGTAAACATAGTGAACCACCTACGGTGTAGACACCGATATATTTTGAGCTAAAATACAGTAAACCGAATTAGAAACAACATCATACATATGATTAGTAACAAACCTAACAGCTAAAAACGTTGTTATTCCAAAGAAAACTGCATTTTTAAATGTGTCAGCACCGCTAAAATATATAGAAACAATCTATAAGAAGATAAGTGAAAAAAGAAATAACAGAATAATTAACCTTCTCATCAGTAAGCGGTAACAAAATAAACAATTAGCAACACACGACAAACTGACCAACGAATCAAACTGGACAACACGCGATGATAAAATAAGAGCAGGGTCTAAACAAAAATGTTCATGAAAATAGGAAAATGCTCTTTTTTTGGGCGTCTAGGAGAGTCAATTACCGGTAGCAATCAGAAAGCCAGATGTAGCTGCAAATGGTCGTCGAACGGCAAAATCTCTCATTGTATAATACGACAAAACAGCCAAGAGAGACCCAAATATGGCTGGTAGCAAACGCGCAGTAAATATCGGAAGATCAGGAGAATATGCTGAAAAGTAGAAAAAAAGGTAAACTACATAGTACATTAGAAAGATTATTCACTTTGTCCAATTGTGACTAAATTGCAATCATTCACAGATAAATGCCAAAATGGACTAACTAAAAAGAACGATATGAAACTATGGAATTTGTATCATAATATGACGAATATAACATTTTTTATAAGTCGAACTGATCTGTGATATTCGGATCATATCGGATCCAAGCAGGCATGGGCGAGTTCGGACTGGAAGACTTTTTGGCAGACTTGGACTCGGACTTGAGTCTTTCAAGTCCGATCTAATCAACTTTTAACACAAATGGACAGAGAAAAATGAAAAGCGAAATAATAACACCTTCTGTTTCACAAGAAATTGAAATTTTATTTTGGAGACGGACATGCAAAGTAACCTTATTTTCGAAAAATCAAATATCTATCCAGGGCTCTGTAAATTGAAAAAGAGAAATAAACCACCCTCATCAAAAAAGAATCTAAAGATTACCGGACTCGGACTCAGCTCAGACTCGATACCCCTCGGACTCGCCCATGCCTGGATCCGAGTAATTCTCCAAACAATTTGCAACGAATCAGTACAAAATATATGTTAAAACAGCTGTATTACTTACGCTATAATGTTTTGTATATCAGACAATAGAAATCGTTATACGTACACACCGACAAAAGCGATAAGTAGTTTGCCAAACGGTGGTTGAATATCAAAATGGAATTGTCGATGTAAAATTAGATTGATGTCTCGAATATTGTACACTTCATCAAATCTAAAAATGAAACAAATGACATCTATAACAAGGATAGGCGTTCTATCAGTTGTTAACTCCCCTTCCCCTCGCTAGAAATACAGATTTTTTCATACAAAATTTTTATCAAAATAAGTACATGATTCCAGAATGTCTACTCTTAAAATCCAACTGTTTTGCTAATTAGAAACTATTGGTCTTAAGACCAATAGTTTTTGCAGAAGTTTTTTAAAAACCGTGAAAAACTCATATTTAAAAAAATTCTGATGTTTCAACGAAATACCAGGAGGAAAAAAGAATTTTAGTGGTATCAGTTTGTAGAATAAATGTTTCTGATCAAGATCAGATCTCTCCTAGGTCTGAGTGATGTTTAATCAAAGGTTATGTCAGTTTTACTAAGAGCTCTAAAATGTATATCATATACTGGCATCATCATATTATAAAAAGACTTTTCTGTGGAAGATGAACATCATTGCAATGATTTCTCCGTTAGATTAATTGATAGACAATTCGGACTGGTCTTAAATTGAGACTAAAACTTAGAGCACAAGCGTCAGAGCTTAGAGCACTTAGAGCTCCATTTTTTATTTAAACTTTTGTTTATCCGAACTAGACGCTTTATTTTCAAGGAACTCTAAGTTTTGACGTTTACTGCTTCCAAGAACACGAAGTAAAAAGAAAGTTCAAAACACCACTCTAAAAACACGCCATTACCATGACCTTCCTTTGTAATTTAAAACCGACATGAGCTATCCATCATTTGACTTGACAGAGAAATCGTTTTACTATTAAAGGTCTCATTTTTGGAATCATATAAGAAAGACTTATCGCGAATACTGATAGATGGAATTTCGTAAGAGCAACATTTTTTTGAAAGGTTTGACCTTGATCGGACGGATAGTTTCTGAGATCCGTTTTTGACGTGGGTGATGTTAAGCACCGCTGATAACAGCTCATGCTCTCGTTGTTGTGGTAAATGTTTTGTTGATTCGTGCGAGTTCAACCATCAACAGCTATGTGAGTAAGTGATCGTAGTAACAACGCTTATCAACATATCAGATATTGAAAACAAGAATGATACTTCGCTTACACAACTTGTCTAGGTGATCCTAGTTGATATAA